TTGGATAAACTTGGCACAAAAACAAGAGCCTAAACATTCACATAGAAATAACACATCCTGGAAAACGCTGAGTGTGCTGCTACACATACATGCAAACCCTGAAACACACACACACACACACACACACACAGTCAGTGGGATGCAGCAGAACTGCAGCAGGGAGACCATCTGTGTATTATACTGGTCCAAATCGAGCACTTCGATGCCGTCTTAGAGCCGAGCGGGGATGAGGTATGAGAGTGCCTCTCTGGAGTGTGTTTGTGTGCTACTGGGCTGTAGAACCATATGTTTTGCTGTTAACAGGAACTGTGAGAGTTTAAATGAAGAAAAGTATAATTTGGTAATATGATATTTTCATTTGTCACTGGAGGAGCCAGCTGTTGCAATTAAAAGTTCATTGACTATTAGGATATACACAAACAGATCTGAAACACTTGAGGGGACTAACTTCCCCCCTCAGTGATAACTGCAGTGAATCAGCACACCAATCCAATCCTACAAAAAGTAACGGAAAGATTTTGGGGGTGAACTGTGGCATTTGCCAAAAACATGTGCAGGATCGTGTTGAGCACACAGCCTCTCTATAATACACAGCTATAATTCTACCTCCCTGACCAATTTTGTCATTTAAGGCCTGGAGCACGCTCATGCTCTATACCTCAATTTATTTTCAAAGGTTTATTTCCTGGAGCCGTCAAGCAAATGGTGTGCTGCTGCTGCTGGTACAGTACATGCTTCCATGCCTGTCCGTGCCAAGAATGCGTAGGAATCTTCTCGATCTAGATGAACAGCCAGAAAATATCTTTCCAGGGAAAGGAAAAGATCGTAACACTCATGTTGCAATCGTGCTGCAATCCCTTCAGTTTGTCTGTTATGTTTTTTTACAGTTGTTACTGACGATATAGGACACATCTACCACTTTCTTCACTGCTGCTATTTTAGCTTGGATACAGTATGTGCCATGGTTCCTTATCTCAAATTGTTTGTTTTAAAAATGTAATTACCATTACCGCTATCATAGATCACTTCTTGGAACAAACAGCTGCCAGCTGTGACAACTTGTTGAATGAACTTCATTTGCATACTTTCTCCCAAACAAACAGCCTTACAATAAGATAGATGTAGAAGTAGCTGAAATCATCTACGCCAAGAGCACTTTGCTTGCAGCCAGAACAGACAATCTAATATGGAGCAGAAATTGAGCCGAGATTAATTTTTCAGTCATGTGCCTCATAGACAAGATTATTCAGATGTTGTATCTGACTGCCAAAGAGCTCTGCATAAAAATAATAATACCCCTGTGACAACCACTCGATCCTTGGCAGCAGTGTGACTTTCAACCTCTGATAATTATATTGAGAGCCCAACAGTAATGACAACCCTCCAATGCCACAGAAAGAAAAGACTTTCCTCTTAAAGCAGCAGTGGTCAACCGTAAATCCACTGCTTTCTGAAACTCGCACATGAGATAATGCTGTGTGAGGCATGTGGTTAACACAGGCTATATCAGCCTGGAAATGACTGTCTGTCCCTCCTGTTGGGCAGTGCCTTGGGAAATGTGACTCTGCTTTGCGGTGTGGATGGGATGGAGAGAGAGTGCAGCAAGCAAAGCAAACACTGTATATATACACAATACTACATCCTCACCCTGTAATAAGACTTATAGCTTTAAACCAATATCTGTTTGTAGGTGGGAAAAGTATCACTACACATTTTCTGGATGTGACTTTCTATGGTTGAAATACTGTAAGTAAGATATTGGTGGAAACAGCAAACACAAACCAAAGTTGTGACTCTGATATTGTATAAACAGCCTCCCCCTCTTGTCACACACACGCGCGGCCGCTCTCACACGCCTCTGGTTACTGGTGTTGCTTCCACATCAAACAGTGCTGTGATAGTGGAGTTTGTACTTTATACCCTGGCAAACATGAGCAACACAGTTAATCAAACACAATGGTATATACACAGAGACAAGCATGGAGCTACAGAGCTGCTACACCATTTCATTCTAGGTTTGTTTGAACAGTTGCTAACCCACCTCCATTTCTCATTCTATGAACCCTGAAATTCAAATTTGATCAGATATATGTGATTTGTGATTACTAAATTCCATTACATGCAAAGAGGACTGGCTTGCTTGGAGCTCTGTGCACACTGTGCCAGTATGAACAGTGTTATTTCACTGGACCAAAGCATATTAGGATTTTTACAGTGTCAGAAAACATCCCAGCCTGCTGCTGCATTTTGGAAAATTGTAGACTGCACATGCCAAAGATTGCTCAAAGCCAGCCAAGAGGAAAGTCAGTTCTGGAGTAATAGAGATGACTGGCAATCTAATGATAACATTAAAACCCAACATCAAACTGAATTCATATAATAATCCCTCTGCATACAAAAGGCTTCCTTGTCCCTCTGTTTCCACCGCTGCCTCAGTTATAACAGATGGGGATGCTTTAGGTTTGCTCTTAATGCTAAATCATAAGTCACTGGAAGCGTCTTTATGAATTGTTTAGTGTTTACCAGGCACCTGTGGGATGCAGATGGAATAAAAAGATTTCCCTGGTGCATGTGTTTATGCTGAGCATATGTTAAGGGAAGGCTTTATACAAGACGATGAAAAAAGTTTGTTCATAGCCAAATAAAGGCACACACATAAACACAATTATAGACTTTTCTGAATTGATTAATTATTGTTATCAGTTATCAGAGTCTGGGTCTAGTCTGCGAACTCTTACCAGAGGACACAGAAGAACCTGAGAGGCTGGAGTTACTGGATGCTGCCATCCCAACCCGTTTCACCGCTCGGTTATTCCCGTTTGGCCAAGGTGCGCTCACAGCAGCTCGTCCCCGGCGGTGTCTCCATTTCACTCGCGTTCCAGTGTGCTTTACCTTTGACGGCTGCACCGGTGACTATTTCATGCCTTGTCTCGTCCCGGAGCCCACCACACGTCTGTCTGAATCTGCCGATCCTTCCTCTTGCCTGCTGAGAGCCTCTGTGAGGAGCTCACGCTGCCTCATACAGTGTAGGTGCTGCAGACACAGATAAAAAATAGTCATACAAGCTAATGGATCAGTTTCTCCAAAGCATTTCCTCACACTGGACAGGCGGAATCTGTACGTGTAGATTCTTGAGCCATGCACAAATCAGCTATGGTTTTTCCATGTGCCACTTTAAGGATTATAATAAACACACTACACTGCAGCGTAGACGCCTTCTTAAAGTGAAAGCTTGGAGCAGGGTTGCCAGATCTTAAGTAATCCCGACCGGCAAAAGAAGCCAAAAATGACATCTGTGTATGCAAAGTCCAAAACAGACGTTACTCTTTTCTTGAAATGCAGAGCTACATGTGATTCAAGGAAAAGGCCCAACCGGCCAAACCACATTACAGCTTTGGCAGTTCATATATTCTTCAGATGTCATGTCATGACGAGAACTAGAAAGACTGTGTTCTTACGCCATCTGGTGGCGGGCTTCACACTTGGCCATGGAATCAACCAAAAGATGGATGAAGCCCAGGGTTCACTATTATTTCCACTGTGTCTTCTTTATTTTCCACTATGTCTTCTTGTATTAAGGAAGAATACCTGGTTACTGCACTCTGATTTCAAGGACAGTCTCCAAACGTCCACAGTGGTCACCAGGTACACCTAGGTGTGAGAAGCTTTTTGTCTATTATGCAATGTGCATGATTTTAATGTCTAAAGCTTCAACTATCAACTCTAGAAAAGTAGGTGATACACACTTCTCATGTACATTATTGTGGCAAACATGTATACGTTTACAGCAAATTACACATCCAGACAAATAACATTATCATCCCACTGGATTTGTGTTTCTGGTCACCCGATGAATCAGTTACTGATTAATAGTGACTATTATTCAGGTGTCTTTTAAGTACTTTTGGTCTTCAACAATTCAATTTTTACCCCATCTTTTTACTTGGTTGCTAACCTCTGTTGGCTGTCTGGTGCTGGGCAGGTAGGATCAACAAAAACAAAACAAACATTAGACAAAAGATGCAAAAACAAAACTAACAAAAACATGATGCAATGGTCATGTTCATTCTCTAGCCAGTAGTAATGTTGAAAATCAATTTTCAAATGAGCAGAGTAAACCTGGCTGCCATGTGTCACCCCTATCACAGATGGTGTCTGAGCACATGGGCTCCACCTCATTTCCTCATTCTTAGCCAATCTGTTATTGTCTACTTTCAAGATGAATGGAAGAAGCAAACTCTGACCAGTTAATATTGAATACCAAGACTTGGGAGCAGTTCTGGGGGATGTTATATATATTTCCCCATACATAAAGGTTTTCATTTTACCTGAATCTGAACCTAATCTTCACTCCTTACCTTACCAGGTAAATCTGCCATGTAGTGTCCCAGTTAGTTCCTAATTATAGAAACTGTAAGTTTATTTTTATTTAATATTTTGGGCTTAACAAGAGAAATGAGTGCCTAAAATTAAATAAACAAAATTTACCAGAACAACCCAATTTAAAATTTGGTCACTTGTTTTATTTATTTATTTATTTAACCAAAGCCATTACCTTTCACGTCACAATTTTTTGCCGCTATTGTCATTGGGACTGTGGTACAGTAAATATCCTTCAACATTCCATTTAAGAATCATTTTGTAGGCTAAATATCCCTTCAAAAATGCTAAAATAAGGTTATGTCAGTGGAACGTGTACAAAACGTCATATGCTTCTTCACTGCGATTCCCATTTACCTGGCTAGCATGTCTGCCTTCTCTCGCCAACAGTAAAAACAGCATTGAGTGCTACTTGTAAGCTCATAAAATGTACACTCACCAAGTTAGAGTAAAATACTTTGATACTAGTTTCTTTTTAGCACCCGAACTAGAAAAAACTACGGTCATTTTTCCTATCTAGGCAACTTAGAGTGTCCTATAAGACCGCGCTGAGGGTTAAATCTCCAGGGCGTACAACAACGGCCACGTGACCACTTCTCTAATCAGCCTTGGTCATGTGACTCTGCTTTACTGTTTCATTATTCCTGTGCAGCGCTGACCAGTTTCTTATGAAACCTTGTTTTTTGAGGGCAGATTTTTATTTTTTTAGTTGATGCCACAGAAACGACACTGACCATGAGGTGAGTTTAAGCAAATACAAATTTGTTTCCCCCCATTTCTTCACATGCACGGTGTCACTGTGGCCGCATTTGAAATTTGAGTGACTTGCTGTTTGAGATTGTTAGGTATTTTTAGTCAGATAGATATGGGATAGATACTTTATGTATTAGAAATGTTTAGTGGAGACAGGATGTCTAGTTAGACTGTTAAATGCTTAGTCATGCTTATGAGTTTCTACAGGGTACATCTGGTCAAGGATAACTAGAGAGAAGAGTTGATGACTGTCAGCAGACAGGGTGTTTAATATTATTATTATGACGTGTATAACTGTAGCTTTAGCCATAATATGTTCTTATGTTTAAGTCACGACATGTTACTAGAGGTCGTGAGAATGTTTTTAGCTACACACCACTTAACCAACAGACACACACACATTGATTTGCTTCATGTTTTGACTACTGCTATGACCAGCTGCAAAGCTGGTAACAGAGACGTCTCGGTTGATGTTTCTGTGTAGTATGGGGCTAGCCCAACTGAGGGGATATAATGTATAGGCCTGGTGGGTTCAGGGTCTTTCATCTTACATCTGCCTGCGAGCAGTTTGGAGGTGCAAGATACCTGAGCGTGTAATGTTAATTTTACCTGTGATCCTTTGAATAAATCAGCACTGTTTTGAAGTTACTTGGACTGTCTCGTCTCTCAGAGTTAGCAATGGTAACAAGAATAATGGATGGATGGATCCACATATCATTGACCAGGCCTGTGTAGTCTGATATGCATTTTGTAAACATTGGCAGGCTGTTGAAGGAAACTCTGGGTGTCCTGTTACTGTGGGCCTGTTTGGACTTTACACACTCAAGGAGCTGCTCCTCGTTTTTCTGCGGACAATCTTACCGTGTCAGCGGCCTGAATGGAGTCGACCCTGGGCCTCCTCTCTTTCTTACTCCTTACCTGGAGAAGGGTGACATAGATGAAGGTAAAATAACTTTCACACTACACAAAACCACAATAATACTGCAGTTAGCATTAACCTTCTCACTTTTGCAGTGATCACATTTCAGGGGCTACAGTGTCTGAGCCACCAATCAGTTAACCTTACATGTTTTTTAGTATTACACGGGAATGAATGTTCGACCCTCTTCAGGATAAGCGGTGTAGATAATGGATGGATGGGAATGAATATAATGACATCGTGTTCTTCCAGCCAGGAAACTGAGTCTGGTAGGAGATCTGCCTGGTGCCAGTGTCAAGAGCTATGCCGGGTACCTCACTGTCAACAAAACCTACAACAGCAACCTCTTCTTTTGGTTTTTCCCTGCACTCATGGTAGGCTCCGACTTCTTCTTTACATATTTACAGAGTCACATTTCTGGCACTGTGGTGCAGTCTGGGAGAGGAGATGGGTGACAAACTCTGAGATAAGATCTTGTGCTTGGACCTCAACTCCCCTAGTCAGTATGAGTGTGAGCATGGTATGCAACTGCTGTAAACTAAATACAAACCCGATTCCAAAAAAGTTGGGACACTGTACAAAATGTGAATAAAAACAGAATGCAATGATGTGGAAGTTTCAAATTTCAATATTTTATTCAGAATACAACATAGATGACACATCAAATGTTGAAAATGAGACATTTTGAAATGTCATGCCAAATATTGGCTCATCTTGGATTTCATGGGAGCTACACATTCCAAAAACGTTGGGACAGGTAGCAATAAGAGGCTGGAAAAGTTAAATGTACATATAAGGAACAGCTGGAGGACCAATTTGCATCTTATCAGGT